ACCTCAGGGACCTGCTGGGGTTGTATGGATGTAAAAGTTCACCGAATGTGCTGGTGCTTGTAAGTCAAAACCAAAATCTTAAGTTAAGTAGACTCTGAAGTTAATGGAGAGCCAGTGCAGCTAAATGTATGAAGTGATGTGCAAATACGATCCGAGATCATGCTAAATACACTCATCTCTGTCACTTAGAACAGCTTTGGTCATTCCAGGTTAATTCCTTTATTTGTGTTTAGATTCTTGCTTGTCTGGCTGGTTTCAAGTGAAATCTACTCAGTTAATAAACTATAAGACTGCATACTTCTTTGTGTATAGTAAACTGAATTTGATGTGATTTGTTGGAGTTATTTACTTAGTTGCAGGCCGACTGCCACATCTGCAGAACCTTCATCTGACCCCAGCATGCTTCAGTTTTTGATTGTTGCTCAGTATTCAGTGTTATAGATAAATACTGGAGATTACAAACCAAGTCTTCAGGGGCTTTAAGTACTGAGAATACACCTCATGTTGAAACAGTGGAGAGTTTAATCCCTGCTACAAATTTCCCATGTGGAGCATTTCTAGGTTATATTTCATACTCAGTGCACTGACATGCCTTGACCATGATTTTATTTTCCAACTGAGCAAAGATTATTCTGGACAGTTGTTCTGGACAATTAACCTTGTTTTACCCACACCAGCCTGATTACCGAAAGTCAAGAGATCTGGACACGCAGCCACGCAACTGTCTGACCCTGTCAGTCCCCTCCCCTCCCCATCCTGCCTGCCTCTCTCATAATCAGTTGCATCCTGCTGCCTCTTGGAGGAAGGAATGTGACACAGAATGAAGCGCTCCATACACAAACTCCAGGATGAGTTATTTCAGTTAGAGTGCACGTCGTTAAGTTTGAATTTATCACCTCCCATTGCCCAAATGTTTGTTTGGCTTTGTTTTAAAATATAAATGACGATAGTTTTGTAGGATATTTAAAAACCTGAGTTTTACAATATTCCCTTTAAAATAATGCTAACATCTATAAATCAAAATGCATTTTTACTGTACGTGTGATGTCCTCCTTTTCTGCTGCTGCTGCTCCAAACATTATCAAACAAAGCTCTGACAATAATGCTTTGATGAGTGGAGAGTAATTACTCGTGTGCTTTATTCAAATTGGATGTATGTTGACATTTTGAGTCTGTTCAGAGAAATAACCCACTTCAGATGAGCATTAATCTGATTAAGAGCACAATTTATTTGGGTTTCCGTGCTCAATAGAAACCCTTCCTGCGCTGCTCACGGCCTGCCAATAGACCAGAAGAGCCCAACCACTATGAATGGCCAACAGCTGTGTATATAGAGGGAGCACATTTCCCCTCGCGCTGAGGAAATAAAACACCCTGTTTCAGGTAAACACTGAGTCAGAGCTCACACAGCATACACATATGTGCAAGGACAGCATTTTAAATTTGCATGCATTATGTAATATTAAAAATGTGTTGCTTATGAGAATTGGTGAATGTCGCTATATTTGAATATAGGTTGTCATTATATTTACAGTCTGTATGTTTTATGTTTCTACTAATTTATCTAATTGAGCCCCTAAGTGGGTAATGCCACTTCAGTTTCTCTCAAAATGAGATGGTTTTAGGGGACAAACATTTGGTGCCAAGGCGCTTTGCTTGTGTGGAAACTTTTTAACACCGGTTGCAGTTCAAGCACGGAGCATGTCATAAATTATCTCCATACAATTTCCACTTGTAAAACATTTTTACTCACTGCATCTGCTTGTAGCCGTGTTTGCCTGGTGAAACATTATACTTTTGTGACAATATTTCAATATCTATCTCACTCTCTTATCCATTAAAAGAAGACTTCTAATTCCAGTCTAAAAAGAAATATTGCACTGTGAATTCAAAATTAATTTAAAAAAAAAAGAATTTTATCACCACAGGTTTCAGGTCAAAAAAATGTAAAGCTGTAATACTGGCAGTAAAGATGTCTCCTCTAAACTGGCAGCCCCCAAACCTCAATTCATAAACCTGTCTTGAGATTATGTGTATGGTTGAGACACACAGTCTAACTACTTGGCCAGCTAAGCAATGGAAACAGTTCCTGCATGAGTATATTCTCACCGTTGATGGTGCATTTGAGAGAGCTAATGCACTAGCCTCGGTATGGTTAATACATTTCTATGAAACAACAATCAGAAACGCATAGCCCCGCCATTCCTTATTTGGTTTGTCCCCTGGCGCATGCTAGCTTTCTCACAGCATTTCTTGGGAGTTTATCCATTATGCAAAGTAAAAATGCAAGAATATATTCAAAGCATAACAAACAGTTTGTGTTTGTGCTCCCTTTTTAAACTTGAAACCCTAAAATCTACATCCAAGATTCCACAAAGGCTGCGTCAGTGCAACCATAGTGGTGCAATTTGGATAAATGGTGAAGATGAAAGCAGAATTACGTTTTTACATGCCTTCCAGACTGCTTGCACATTTTTCTAAAAGCACCAATGTCTGGGTGTGTAATTACACACCAAATGCTGTTTTTTGGGGGTTTTTTTTTGGCTTTTTGTTTTTTTTAATGGAAGTATGTGTCGGCACACAAACATTAGTCCCGACTCAAAGTAGGCACAGGATACGCCCATGAAAGAGCTCTTGCTCAGGAGCTGCTGATGACAACAGCAGTATCAGAATAATCAACGACTTTGAATTAGTGATTCCTAGCTTAGTTGGTTTAATGAAACATGATATGCCTTATGAAATGTATTTCCCCTTGTCACAAGTTTAATATGTGTGATGTATTGAGCTAATATGAGCTCCCTTCCTCAAACTGTGTAGTAACTTAAAACACATAAAACCTTGGAAAAAGACATTTTTAAGAACTGCCTTGACTGTTTTTGTTCCTTTTATTCTTCTCCCTTGTCTACCTCCATTAAAGCTGATATAAGAGAACATCAAATAGTCATCTTTTAAAACCAAATAATCAAAATTATCGTGTCAATTCAATTCTATCGTATTCCATAAATAAATTATTATTCCAAAAAATAGTTAATTATTACTTAAGTAAATGTGTTCAAATTGTATCTATCGTACCTTTAAGGGACACATTCACATACATTAGTTACATGAGTTTTTCTTTTTTATGCCATTATTTTTGCCACATTTCAGCAGGAAGTATAGACTTTACTCTATTGATTTCACAATGATCCAAAAAAAAAAAGAAAAGAAAAAAAATACAAATATTAAACCATTTGATTGTTTAAGGATTAACTGCCCAATATTAGATGAAAATATTTTTTAAAAAATAACACTAAAATATATATTTTTTACACATTAATGAATCAGTGCGAAGCTGCTATTATATATATATATATATATATATATATATATATATATATATATATATATATATATATATATATATATATATAATAGCAGCTTCGCACTGATTCATTATATATATATATATATATATATATATATATATATTATATATATATATATATATATATATATATATATATATAAAATTATTCCAAGGGGACATTCTGCTGTATTTTGAGAAAGCAAATTATTACTTTGCTAGTAGTACTTTTACACTTTGTGTTTCACTCAAACACTAAGTAATGTTTTGAATGTAAGATTTTAGTTATAACAATGTTTTCTAACATATGATTATTTTTTTACTACGATTATGGATCGTCTAACTGCTGCATAAAACTGCTGGACTAAAAGTGTGAGACTACAGATTTTATAAGCACTGCTTTGTGTGGACATGTATTTTGGATTATCTATTTTCCCATTAATCATGTGTGACCCCTCGGATTTATCTTGTGACCTCTGGTCTTGGAGCAATTTTGGGGAGGTGTGTAAATAAATAAATCTAAAAATTTTGAGCATTTTGATTGTCCTGAGACCATTCTCTATTTGAGCATCATTATTTTAACAGTGTCCGTCTATGATAAACAGAAATGTGAAGCCATTTGACCCCTGCTAGGGAATGCTGGGAGTCATAATGGTTGGTTTGAAGGGGTTGGACATCCCTCCAATGTCAGAGAGACAGAGAAAAGACACGGGGTGTGGTTGGTTAAATGCGAGACACCCCCTTTGTACTGTTTCAACAACATGGGGGGACATCTGGCACTGGCAATACTGCCCAGTGTTGAGGTCTCCATCGGCTTTCTCAAGCAGTGAGCTGTGCAGCATTGAAGCACTGCCTGCACATTCTCATGCTAATACCCAAAAGGCAGGAGCAGATGTGAAACATTTGGTTCTGTTCTTGTTCACTTGTAAAGAAATAATGTGTCCCGTTATCATTATTTCACTTTTTTTGTTCTTCTATGTGTTATAAAAAGGAGTTCATGGCGGAGGCCATCTTCTTTGGTGGCCCCACTTAGGTTGCATGTCTCCCTCTCACTGGCAGAAAAAAGTGAGTGTCTTGGGGATTTGAGGAGTGATTTTGTCATCTGGGTAGATGCTGCCACAGTAATTTTAGAGGGAATGGTGCACTTAACATTTGCAAAATTGCTCCTGCAAGCATGACAGACGAAGTAGTGTGTGTTTAGCTTAATGTGTGTTTCAAACCTTCAAGAGTTTATTATTATGCATTATAATGTTTTGAGAATTTGACTGTATTTTACTAGTTATAGTGTATATGATCATTCTTTTAAAACTCAGAAAATGACCTTAAGGAGGTTAGGCTTATTTAAGCCTAACCTCCTTAAGGTCCTTTCGCGAATCTCTTTGTACTTTTTCTACCGTGTATTTTAGTGTGTAGCATTCCCCCTGTCGGATAATTTTAACTTTAATTTGCACATGCAGATGCCATCTAATTTCGCAGAGTGGCTGCGCAACAGTGTCCCCGCCCCCACCTGGAATATCATTGGCTCCTATCTGCTTCTCTCTTGATATTATTGGCCAGAGAGGTGCCTCTCAAGAAACTTGACGTGCGAGACAAGTTTACAACTCTATACACGTGCTGCTGGTATGTCAGGGAGAGATGTGGTAGCATCCTTTACAGAGGAAGGATAGCACAGACTTTATTACCTGTGTGTATGATTCGCTGTACGCTCACCTTTCAGGGGATACTGTGGAACAGTTATTGGGGCAAGTTCTTAACACCTGTTCACAGCAGGCATCCATCATTTGGCACTTTTGGAGGAGATTGAGGTGTTATCCACAGCTTACTGTGGATGTAGACACTTTAGTTCCTTCATGGCAAGAAGACTCAGTGATGTGCGCCTAGCATGGCTGTGGCTCCTGCACCGACCACCAAGGGACCGGTATGGCTTTTAGCCGCATCACTAAACTGGACCCCCCGTCCCGAGGCATCTTCAGGAAAGCGGTGGTCATGCTGTGCTCCCTCCTCGCCTCTTTTTTCCTCCTGCACCTCCTCACCGAAAGCTGCACCACCACCACCGGCAACTCACCGCCCAGAGGCTCCTCTAGTCGGACTGCTGGTCTTTTCGAGGACCTGAGTTCGCTGAGGACCAAGAGACTGGTATATGAATGGACTGGCGGATCGGAGTTGAACCGCTACGGGACCGCCGCGCGCACCTCACAGGTCCTCGCGGATGAGCGCGCGACGCAGGATTCGGAGCTGCCCGAAGAGGCTCTCGCGCTGCCACCTCCGGATTTAGTAGTTTCCAGGAGAGTGTCGCCCAGGTTCGCAGGTAAAGTCAGTCCGCTCGGGGAGGGGAGCAAGAAGCTACCTCAGGCTCTCATCATCGGGGTAAAGAAAGGAGGGACCCGGGCTCTGCTTGAGTTTCTTCGGGTTCATCCTGACATCAGAGCCGTGGGAGCCGAGCCGCACTTCTTCGACCGAAACTACCACAACGGGCTGGAGTGGTACAGGTGAATATTTAATAAAGTAAATTTTTTTTATAAAGAGAGAGAGAAAACACACACTCACACACACAATTTAAACACTTCAGTTAATATTACGCCTGAACATTCCCCAACTTTATTATCAGTCTCATTGAAATCTGTGCAATGTTTTCGGTCATTAAATTGCCACGATGATAGATTGTGTTTTTCCAGCATTTTATTTCCCCCCACAACCACATCACTGATAAAGGCTGTTCCTCATAACCCAGAAATCTTTATTTAACATCTCAGCTTTTATAGAGGTAGCCTAATTGCAGCTGGAATAAGCACTGAGGACAGTCTGTTGATTTATGAAAGCTACATTAGGCCTGTTTTCATTAGATGTTATCGGGCTGCTCATTTTGTTTCACATTTTGGGGTTGACTGCCTTTTAAGTTGCTTTGGTTCGAGCCATAGTGGAGTCAGAGTTTAAGGCTTCATTAGGCTGGGAAATAAGACAAGGGTAAATCAAAGTATTTAAAAAAAATCAGAGTGTTGAGGAGTAATTTTCTCTTAGCGCTTAAAATCAATTTCTTTCACCTTTAATAATTTAGTAGTGAATACTTTAATGTATGTGGTAAGTTCAGCGAAGACCTTAAAGTTAATTATTTATCAAGGGGATTTAAAAAACAAAAAACTCAGACATGAGGCTTTATCCAAGATTGTCAGTCTCATGTGCTTTTATAAAAACCCAGAGAAAGTGAAAAACTCTTCATCAACAAAAGCTGAAACAAAAACAATTTACTGAAGAAAAATTACAGCAGTGAAGGTTTTTGACTGTGTTTGTGTGGCATCAGGACAAAGTTTGTCCGTGTGTGTAATAAAAAATAAATAACTTTGAATGTTAAAAAAAAACAAAGACAAAAAATAAACAAATAAAAACCCACAACTTCCTTGCCTTGCCGACGTTTTCTTTCTTTTTCTCAACACGCAGCATTACTTGAGTGTTAATTCTGATCACTTTAAATCTTGTCTGGCAAAAGTGGAAGTCTAAACACCGATCCCGCATAAACACACTACCCTCCTTCAATGTCTCAATTTCCCAGTTACGGAGTGCGATGCGTTTTTCTCACTCAAGTCAAATTTGTGATTGATTTCATCTGTCAGTGCGAGTGTGTGTGAGTGAGTGTTTTGTGTTCACATTTCCACAGGCCTGTGGGGAATAATGGCTCTTCCTCTCAGTGGTTCTCTGTGTAATGGGGCATTGCCGACATTGCGGCTCTGTTATTAAGAAGGATTAGGGCCATAATGAAAGGTTACCTGAGTGTCTCAGGAGGTATAATTCACCTTTTGATTGAGTTAGCACTACACGCAGCACCCTCTAAAAGCCTGGAGACAAAACTTTAACTCTCACCAACAACTCCCTCCAGACCCTTCTCCTTTTCACCCTCCCACCCTTCCTCCCCCAAACACTCTGGCTTTCTCCCATCTCCCACTCACACACCTCCCTCTTTGTGCCTCTCTGAGAGTGAACATTCTCTTTTTGCCATCACTCTTTCACACCCTTCTGTTTACCTATTCATCCATTGTGAGGTTTTATATCCATAAGGGTCCCATCTATCCCGAGGAGTTGCCAAGATTCTCTGGAATTTGGACCGTGCCTCCAAGGACAGACCTTAGTGCCGGTTCGCCTTAATGCTGCCCATTTAAAACAGAAAGACCCTTGAAATGAAAGAGGCATAAATAACTGTTACAACAGCATGGCCCACTCTACGGGAGTTCATCTTGTCAGCTCTCCTCTACAGTCTGAGAATCTTCCTGTTTTGTGGGTTTTTGGAAGCGTTTGATTGAGCTGAATCCATTTGAAGTTGCTGGCCCGAGGTCATCTGAAGGTGTTTTTGTGCACTTCGGAAGCACTTGTTGAAACAGGGGAATCGATTTGATTGCTAAAGTCTACCATCCCCTCTTGAAAATCGGTGCAGCCTCTGTGCCTCGGAGCTACTGTCATTTCACTAATGGTTATAAGATTTCAACGCTGTGGGAATGTTTAAAACATGTCTGACATGCGATAGGCTGAAATCTTTGTGCCAGGACTACACTGCTTGGTGGACAACCCCCCCCCACACACACACACACCCCAAAAACTGTTGGTGTTTGTAGAAAACAGGACTTGATTTGTGTGACTAATCACTGTGTCCAATTTCTTGAATTATGTGATTCTTTTCATTAGCAACAGTGAATACTTAAAACACTGGGGCTTCCATTTTAGAAGACTTTGTTTATTGTCAAGGACGCCATGTGTCTTCAGTGTGAATCCCTCGTCTCTGTCTCCTAAGGGAATGCGTGGAACGTATTTTAACACCTCTAAGCTCTTAATGTGACATGGCAACATCTCTGGCATCCTTTTCCAGCTTTCCCAGAATTATACTTGTCTGGCTTGTTCTTGGAATTTCCTTCTACTGCCCTAAAAAGTTGGTTCCGCACCAAAAGATATGATGCAAAAATCTGTCTACCAGGAAAGATAAAAGTTTTAGTATTGACACCACAGCTGTACGAGCATGAAACATGGGGGGGGGGGGGTTAAACTTGTAACTTCACCGCATTTCCAAAAAACTGAGTATTTTTGCAAAATTATGACTCACCATCTCCACTTGTTTAGATTCTGGTTGGGTGTTTTTGGGTGTTCCCAGCTAGCATATCCAACTTGTTGACCTTACCTCAGTTAAAATGAAATGGAATAGATTTTAATAATAGATTTAAAGCAAAAACATATTTTCTTTAGCTTTTTTAATAAATAAAATATCTGGTTTTTCATGCACCGCTCGTCCACAGGAGCATTTCAGATGTCTCAGCTGTGTCCTCGTGGTAGATTTGGGTCTTTTGTTGTACAAGAAACTAACACCCAGCCCAATTGCACAGCCAGTCAGTGTTACATTTCACTACACATTACTCTGAATAACCACACACAACCTATTAGGCTTTTGTTGTGGAAATGGACACTCAGAGTGAACAAGGAGGTCAAGCACAAGTACTCTGAAGTAAAGCAGAGGTCCGCGCTACAGAGTAGTCACTATTATGTTTTTGCCCTACTTAGGTTACTGAACACCCAAGCTTTCACCTGTCTAGACCCTGCCATTGCAGTTTTTTGTTTGATGTCCACAGACCGGTTGGATTAGGCTTCACCTGATCCCTTAATGGGTTAATTACCCTTCCTACAAACATGTGTGACCACAAGGGCAATGTGCCGCCAGCTCTGCTGCACATATATTCATATTACAAAGGTATTCAGTGGAGAAATGCAGGATTTCGTCTTTAAAGCACTAACACGGACACACAGGGCCAAAAACTGGCAGCTTATGTATCAGCAAATTTTTGAAGTCTCCGTCTATGATTTTTCTCATACGTGTAATACTTAAAGCCACGAGAAAGCAAATGAAAACATTATGCTCGGATTTAAAAAAAAAAGCAAAGCTAAAAAGAAACACATTAAATTAGGGGGTTTCCCCGTTCATAAAACTGGCCATATTTGAAAGGAAGTTCTGTAATGGCTATAAAACAGGTTTTAATCATAAAAGCAGTGACCCAGCGGGGACTTCTGTTAGAAACGAGCCGTGTTTTGTAGCCTGATATGTGTTTCTTTGCCGTACGGCGGTCACAGTAGAGACGGGAATGAACATGGAACAAGTAAAATATTCTCGTTCTGTTTTGAATACACTTAAAGGTCCAGATGTAAATGTGTGTCGTGATAACATGCGTCCTTTCTACATTTTAATCCCCTGAATGCAATGGACTTTATTAGTTTTTAAAATTGATTACAATTTTCTGTATTAGGTTACTCATCTTGAAACTCCATTTGTTAAAATAAAATTTAAAAAGTGAAGTCTGATGGTGAAAAGCTAGTAAATTCCCAGGAATTGAAATGAGGCCAACTTCCAACTTTGTTCTTTCCAGTGTGTTTACAATGGGTTTCAGTGAGTTGTGTGGCAGAGTTTAAACTACAGTCCTGTTTGCTGCTGCCTGATATTCCCTCTTTCCCTCTGAGAGTGAAGCAGCTTGGGGGAACTAGTGGAAAGAATGACACGGCTCAAAAAGGGAGAGGTTAGCTGTTAATAATTAAAAAAAAAACTGTCTGTCAGCATCTTTAGCCTGTCACAAATTCATACAATTTAGCAAGTATAAAAAATGGAAATTGGATAAAAAAAAAACAAAACATAAAACTTGCAAACATTTTGTTTTGTGCCTGGATCAGCTGGAAGATGAGGAAAAACATGTGTGAGAGCGTGTATACATTTATATTTATGTGCAACTTTAAATACTTTTAAGTGTATCCCGGTCAGGAATGACATGTTCGTCCAAGTCGTAAATAAATCTGCTCACTTGAAAATAATTCGGTTCATGCCACCCACTAGCTTTGCACCTCTGTGTATACCGATTCTACTTCACTTGCCTATCTGGAATTTTGCAATATGATCGGATTTGAAATGTCCTAGACCGTTTGTCTGGCCTTATTAGTCTCTGTGTGCGACATTTAAAAATATATCAATATGGTCTCTTTATAGATGCTTTGAAAGGAGCAATTTGTTGTATCTATTCTCCAAGGCACTGTGAAGATTTTAAAAACAGATTTCAACCATTTCCTCAAATGGAATTCCTGTTTGATTTATCTTGTTTTGACGCCACATTGGAAAATACTAAGCAGTTATAAGTTACCTTGTTAAAGGGCTGTGGAAATTACTGATTTTCTGATGTGGTTAGACATTTTTCGTCATAATTAGACATAATTAGACGTAAGAGTGGAACTTAGTTTGGTAGGGAACGTTTTTTTCCTGCCCAACATAGAAAAATTATACATAAAACTGCTTTACAGTTGGTTTAGCTTGTGAGTTTAAATTTAAATATTTTATTTTATATTATTTTTATTATTTTATATTATATTTTAAGGACTGAATGATTGTAATTTCAGCATAAATCTTCACAAAAGCGTGTTTTAAGGGTTTGTTTTTCCTAGAGCAGAAGTACATTTGCAACATAAAGGCAGGTTTGCCAGA